TATATAGCATATACAGACCCATATTGGCTTGCAGCGAATGTAACTTACATTTAGCTCTAAAATATTTTGCCGTTGAGGATCAGTCGCGTTAGCTCGTATTAATTTTTAAAGGAAAGCTAAAGAGGTCCTTCAAAAAGTATTTAGAAAGGAAATCTAGAGAAGTTTTATCGCTTGAATCTGAATATTTCGTTCGTTTTTCCCCAAGCTATAACTAAATGCGAGAAAACACGAAAACCCTCCGACCAGTCGTTAGGTATACGCATATCTTTCGGCCGCCATATGCGTGTCACTCGTTTAGACAACACGTGCTGTTTTAAGCTTGCCTGGTATATCTTCACGCTCTGACACAAGTTGTGACGGATTTCTTTCCCCCTTTTTGAAAGTAACAAGTGAGCGCGTACATAGCTTTGATAGGCGCTGAAGATGCCTGAGAAAGGAGATTACGAAATTTCTGTATATGACGTCACGCTCTGCAAAAAGAGGTCTTGAACATTACTTTAAAAATTATTTTCTGCAGCCTACGTGCAACAAATTGAAAAATAGTCTCAATATCAGTGATCCTGGAGGTCAAATGAAGACGATTTAAGTGTGCGTTTTTTCTCAAACACCAAGCAGCTTCAGTTCCCCTTTAATGTCCTTCGAATTGGCGAAAGTTACGTATCGACATTCATGCTCGGCTACTGATAAAATGTATGCGGAGGTAGCTATGGACGTGAACAAAACAGTGTGCGGCAACTACATTGGTTGCTTATTGAGTATGTGTTTTCTTCAGGTATAATCTATGAGGCGACGCCATAAATTCGCGACCTGTAATGAACCGTGGGAGATGTGCAAAATGTAATACAGGTGTTGTGAATTGTAATATTGACACCTCCTACTCACGGGAAACAGCTGTACTGTGCTCGGGTAAATATACGGTTGACAAAAACAAGGAAGACGAAAGAACGCTTTGGCTCGAGGCAGATCGAAGAACAAGCTGCACGGAAGGACTGCGATGACCGACAGCCGTAGATTAACCTCACCATGTAAATAGTAAATCCATTTTGTTTCTTACCGTAAGTCTTTGACGTTCAATTAACGCAACAACTGGTAATAAAACCGGCGGATATGTAGCGCGAATTCTCTCTTCTTCTGCCAATTACTGAGAAAATTGATACAAAGAGAGTGTACGCCATAACTTCGCTAGAAGTTACGGCTCTGCCGACATTCCATATTCCCGTATTGTAAAATACGGGAATATGCCCGGCAATACGGGTATCGTTTACCTCAGAAGTGGGGTTCACTGCGGAAGTTTTTACATTCGTCGTTGTTAGAGTGGATTAACGGTTCCTGTCCTGGCGATGGACTCTGGTGACGCTGGTGGAGGTCTAGGTGGCGGTACACGATCAGGATTAAGCTTAGAGACCCAGTGGGGTTGGGCGCGACCAGGCCGGGCAACGGGAACCGACAGGGCCTTTGAAGACCGCTGTGGTGGCGGCAGTGAATATAGTGCCTGCCAAGCATCCTCCGTTTCACTATGGTGTTTGGCAAAGGAAGGTGGAGGTGCTTTGCCGTGCATTCCGGCATCCTTTGGCGGCCGGCCAGTTCACACTGCGTGCAGCATTGTCCGTTGTGGCTGTTGCCCCCTGCGCTGTGTCGGAGCAGCCCACCGCTTACGACGTTGTTCTGAGGCCTTTTGCACCCTCGAACAGGTACCGTCGGACGCGAGGCGAGGACCCCCGCATATGCCGTATTGATGGTGTTCGTGACAGCCATCTATCTCAAGGCGGTGGGGTGGTTTTCCGCATATGCAAACTGCCTGCGCTGCTGGGCACACGTCATGCTGTTGGCCAAGTTGGTGGCAGCGAGTGCATATAGAAGACGAAGGCATTTTTCTGCCATGGTCAGCGCAATGTCTTTTATGCAAGCAGGCAGAAACTGTAGAACACGTATTAGTTACTGCACGGACGCTGTGTGTTTGTGGGATATACTCCAGCGCACACTGAAAAAGATTTTCCCGATAACCACCAGAAGTATACGGTTTTTATCAATAGAAGATGTGAATAGTGTGCCTTATGAAATGCTACTGCTCATCGGCCTTTTGAGTCTATGGAAAATAAGAGTCGGCGTAAATCACGCTGATAGAACAGTCCGCTTTGCGCATGAATATATTGTTGAAAGTTTTGCCGGCGTGCGTGAAGTGTTCCGGGCACAGCTTGAACAGCCAGATTGTTTGCCCAATCCTGCTGATTGTGTCTGTCTGGAAGTATTTTAATGGTGCCATGGTAGTCAAGTTACGGCTGACGTGTTTTTAACCTCTCTTTCGTATATCTCCTATTGTACAAATCTCAAAGCAGGCAATAACGAAAAAAAAAGCGCCCGTGGTCTAACGGTTATCGTGCTTGGTTCCCACGAAAAAGGCCAAATTCGATTCCTGGCAGCGGAGAGAACCCTGCTGCGTATTCGAGGTCCGAATGTTCTAGGCGCCGAATGCTCTACGCCGAATGATCCGGAAGCCCACGCGTGTACATAAAAAGCTCCGCCTGGCCATCCGCAGTCAGCCTCGCCCCATCGTTCGGTCCTGCTGTTACGCCGACTTCGACGCCAGCGACACTCTGTTTTATCCTCTGTTTCCTTTTTGTTTTCCGCAGAAGTTCGCTCAATTAAACGTTTCAGTTTCCTCAGTTATTCCTTTTTTGTCATCTCGTCATTTGTGACGACATCACGCTGAACACATTCGCTAAATCTAAGCTCTTCAACCACCGTAAACAACTTCTGGCCTAATGAATATTGGATTTCAAGCACAGCGGCTGCGTTAATAAAAATGCGAGCGCATACCAGTATGTTTGCACCCTGTATTCTTACTTTGCGCTAAAATGTCCTAGACCCATCTAATACTACAGGTTACTGACGTGTACTGGTGTCGTCAAAGTGTCTTCAGAGTATCGTCAAAGTGCATCGGTTGCTGGTGTGAAAACGTCCCTCACTCAGGTTAGCAGCATGCGTGTGGCGTGTTTCCTAAGGCGAGATGGGCTGTTCGGAAACGACTATATGTTGGCGATGGCTGCCACTTCTGACCCAAATAGTTCCTACCACTATACCAGGGCAAGAACGATTCGTTTCAAAAGGTCAGAATGCTGCTTTGAAACGAGCCAGACGAGTAAATATAAGTTTCTAGGACAAAGAGGGGCATTTACTTTGATAGATTTATTCCGTGACTGCTCTCGAGAAAACTAAAGGAGAGGCGCAAACTCTCGAGTGAGCGAAAATAAATGAATATAAAATATATGACGACGATAGCCAGTTTGAACATGATAAACGTTACGTCGGTGTTCTTTAAGTACCCTCCCATGCCCTCTTTGTCTCCCCCCCCCCCCTTCAGCGTGTGAAGTGGGGCCTCCTGGCCAGTAAATTCTTACAATCGTCAGTCAACGAATGTGAATGGTATCAACCGGCCAACATGAGGCACTTCTCGGGAGCGACGTCGGCGATACAAAGGAACTTATAAAGGTTTGACGACGCAATTCACCGACGTCTGATTTCGTACTTTGTAGGGGACCACGCAGTTTATATTTTTATAGCACCCTGGTTGCCGTTATTTTAAAGAAAGAATTACCAATTCTCCAGATTCAAAGATAATATCTTAGTGTCGAAGGTAGTAACACCAATTACGCCGGTGCTGATGCTAATTTTTTTAACATTGTGCGAGTTCACGGGTGTTTCCTGAGTATTTTATATACTGTAAAATTATTTATGTTCACGAGCGCTTAATTTCGGCGAATTGAAAAATTCGATGAAATTTAAGGACACGCGAAAATATCGGTCCTAAAGTGTTTCAATGCTGGCTTCTGGAATTCGCGAAATTCAATCGCCGCGATTAGGTCCTCTGCGACCAATTCGCGAAAATGAAGTGTTTTAAAGTACTCGTCTAAAGTTATGCTGCGATGCTCGGAGGGTGACGGATATATTACTGAATTCAGCGCATTGGTAGGTTACCGTCCCTAGGTAGTTTTTTAAACGGAGTATCCACCGTACTCTGTACATAGGTGTTATAATTGTAGGCGACAAATGGGTGCATAATTTTCCAGTTTTTGAGGTCCGGGAAAAAAATGCACACGAAGGTTACTCCAGCAAGGGCACGGTGAAAGGATTCTTTGAGCTTATTTTTCCGTATACGGGCGCTCGACCTGGTTCTGTGGACACCATTGTATACCAAGAGCGCATCTTTGAGCATGTGAGAAAGAAATGCCCTGTAAGCTACTGTCGCTGAGCAGGACGAGTGTTACCCATGTCGAAGTACTCCTTCAATGAAGATCATGGCTTTCTATGTGCGTTGCCTTTGGCGATAGCAGCCGTTACTGCGAAACAAATGAAGTGGCACGCAGCGATGACCATCCAAAGGTTTCCATGAGCGTTGATAATCGGAAGTACAAATAAGTTTGTGCTCAGTGTGTCAGGAAGTCGTGATTTTTAATGAGTTAGTGTGGTCCGATGACTGTTCTTTTTATATAAAATACAAAATGTGGTGTATTTGAAACCGTAAGAGCAGAGTCTAGGACCCCCAAAACGTGGCCGAATATGAGAGTTCATGTTAAATGCTTTCAGGTGTCTTGTGGTCGGATATTGCAGAGAGTCTAGTGCCGTGAGACGTAGTGAGGGTGGTCTTATGAGTGACCATACAGTGATCACCATTAGGACTGTAATTTGACGGTATCATTATTTTCATTAAAGTTGAAAGTCAGGCTCTCCTTGAGCACATTCATAGCATATAAAAAAGGGTGAAAATTCCTGGCTGTTATACTACTCTGATTCTGGTACAGCCGTGCTCAAATACACGGACAACCACTTGGTTTACAACATCATAGACAAAACCGTCATAAAAGACAAAACAAACAATACACCACAGAAACTTGTACTTTTTTAATTAATTTTATGATTTCGCATCATATTATAAAAAAAATACACCTTTCGAAGAATGACATATATTACTGATACTTTTTGCTTCCCTTGGAGCCTGGGGATTATTTAGCCGTTTCTTTTTCTCCTGGGCACATAGTTCTTTTCACTTTTGCTTGCAATGTCTTCCAGGAATCAGCCCAGTACTTCATGCTCTTTTCGAGTCTTTCGCTGCAGAACTGCGTGAGTGGTAAACATGTTAATAGGGTTATTACAAGATATTAAATTTCGATGTTGGGGTTTTTGAGGTTTCGTTTGGGCTATATCACTTTTAACAAAGAATGCGTTCTAAGGTGTGGATTTTATGCAAAAAGCGTTCTGCTGGCGCGGATGTACACGTGGGCAGAACGCTTACGCGGACATACAGATACACACGGGTGAAGCCAACATCTAACATGAAGAGCATGAATAACACACAGCAGGCAACGCATGAGTACACAAAATATACACATGACACAGTTTGTCGTACGTATTTCTACAATATCATAATTGATCATAATGAATTGTAATAAGCAATTTCTACGGAGCGGCTTAGTGGGAATCGCACACCCCAACGTGCGATACACATTGAGTAGGGTCAGCTGAACAGTAACCAATTTTTCTCTCGGTTCTTCTAATTTGTAACTGTTCAGCTGACCCTATTCATTATCTACCAACCAACTCAAGTCAAACCTGTAGTAAGATACACAGCCTGACACCGGTTTCAGCGCCAGGACGTGCCTGCAAGCAGGAGTCCAAGCGGCTGGAAAATGTCGAGTGCAGGTATGCTTCTACCTATTGTGTGTCACTGCAACTCAGCTCGCCGCTTGCGTAAATAGCTATCCTTGAGACGCCGTTGTCGTCTCTGCGTTGCCCTTCGAGCGTCTTTTTGTGAATTATCGGACCATTTTTGCTTGTGTTCTTTATTTTTCTCGCGATAGTTCTCCCTACATTGCTTACAACAAGCCTCTCAGTGAATTGCAACTGAAATTCTCCTTCGGATCGGCTACGAAACTCTCTGAAATCAAGGCACAGGGTGTGCAAGTTCGTGTGCCCGGATGGTACTGCGCACGCGCCGGCAGAACGTGGTGTGAACTAGCTACAATACCACATAGAAGATAAGGTCTGCGCGTTACGTCATCTTTAGTGTGCCCCTTTCCCGCCCGAAGCGATATACACATTAAAGCTCGATCAGATCATCCGTGAAGCGGCAGACGCCATCGCCTTGGCGTAACGACGTGCTAGCGTTGCTTCGTTTTGAGCGAGACCCTTCAATACGCGTTGTCCACGATGCTGACACAAGGTTGTCGGCTCTGCGTGGATCCTCTAGTGATGACGTTTGGGAGGGCAGAGCTGCAGACCTTGTCTGCCTGGTGGTATTCTACAGCCAACACGTTGTGCGGTCACTCACAAGGCGGAAACCACACTGTGTCCCTTTTGAGAGCCGACCTCGAGCACGCACTCACTACGTTTTGCCTTGCTAAGGCGTCAAGTGTATGCTCGACACTCACGAGACACCGGAGCGTTATAAAAGGTAGAGAGAAATGGGATGTATGGTGCCTTTAACTTTCCGAAATCTGTGCGTCCATCGGGAGTAGCAGGGTGGCAGTATACGGTCATGCACACTTAAAGGTTCGCTAGGAACGCAGTTACTTTATTGAAAGTCTGCTTATGATAACAGTCATGTACCGGTAACTCTATCCTAAGACGGAACATTTGACTGCTTTTGAGAAGCTGACAGAAAGCAGACAATTATTATCATCAGCCAAAAAATATTCTGTATCTAAGATAAGACCAAATAAAGAAAGTCAAGTGACATAGTCCATTTTATAGTGTTTCGATTGAGTGCATTCTACTGTTTGTAGAACATGAGAAATAAACAAAAGTAATAACCGTAGATAGCTCAGATGATGAGGCAGTTGATGGTGGGGGAAAATATTGCCAAGATTCATAGGTCACTTGTTAGAATCCGACTCGACAGAAGGACATTTTTGTTTTGGTATAAACAATAGTGCCTGGAGTGCGTCGTCGACTGGGGTGCAGGCGTGCTAAGCTGCCCATACATCAAAGGTGGTCCCAAATTGACACCATATGATGTCACAGAACACGAAGTGTCATACACTTCCACGTCGCGATCCTAACGGTTGGTCGTAGAAATGCTAATGAGAAGCTGCAAGTAGCGCAATTTAAGGTGAGTGTCGCTGTCGTCAAGGAGTCCCAACTTATGACTGCCGAAGCTTCCGCGGGATCCCACGCTTGAGAGCGACCTGCAGCAGGACAGACGTCTGCCGCATGCGCCACACTATTTGGCACGCCACCAGGATCGCTAGTGACATGACCATAGATTTCTCTATAAACACGAAGCATGGTAGTTCGACGACGGAGCAATAGAGTGGCCGGTCGCAGATTTGGAGCGCCAGGGTCAACGTTACTAAAACACTCAGTTGGGAAACTCGCCGTCGAAACCTGGGCCGCTGGCGTCCACCGAGACCGAGCTAACTGCGACAACAGCGCCCCTCTTTATCGTTTGTCTGTACTGTGGTCCCCTTGAGCTTTTTGAAAGCCTATTTTTGCGTAAAAACAAACGGAAAAGACTCTTTTTGTATGGAATTTATTGGCGTTTAGTACCAAATGATGGGCGCATGATGTTTTTATCATCTTTAGTTCGCAAGGTTTTGCGGAACAATTAATATTGTTTTCATACAACCATGCCTCAGCGGGCCTTTCAGGTAGCACGTCCTGACCTAGGTGCATTTTAACGTCAGTAGCTGAACGCGGCGCGTCCGCCGGGGAGACGGGGGTGGCACCCCTGTAACCTCTACCGCTGTATCTGTTCCTAAGCCAAAATAGAAGTCACGTGCAGTTCTTCGAGAGGCCGCTGCGGGAGAAATGGTGGCGTTGTGTTCGTCATTAGCTCGGTGCTCGGAGACAGATTGGGGCCACTTTTTCAAAGCTGTCTCTATGGGAGTTTCCCAACTGAGTGTTTTAGTAACGTTGGCCAGGGTCTTGTAGCAGAGCTTGAAATAGGAACCTGGACGTCAGCGCACAGACTTTTGGAGCGGCGAGGATCTGAAACACACTTGTTCGATCATGAGACGTGTTTTGGCGTCTCCCCGCAGCGGGGCGCCAGTCACTTGGCTCTCTTCTAATGTGTTGTCTGCCCCACCACCTTTTCCATTTCAGCGGCTGCTTCTCCTGGAATTATGCCAGGCTTTTTCAGTATATGGAAGGCTATGGCATGACACTTCTATGACGTCATCAGGCAAAAATAGAGGGACCACTATTTTGGACGCGGTAAATACAGAAGTCGGAGACGCGTTTCAGGAACCATTGTATAAACTCAGCGGCTTCTGCTGGGATCGGTTATGTGACGTCTTCCGAAGTCACCTGGAATGACCTTAAAGGACAACGATGCATTTTCTTCGGGAGGTTTTCACTAACAGCTATCGTTATAAAAGTGACACACTGGCGGCTACCGCAGCAGATAAATGGCCCCCGATTGAGCTTGCTCCCAAATTAAGCTTCAGCTCGAATGACGAAGCCTAACTTCCTACGTATGTGGAAGGATTTTTTAAGGATTATAAACCTAGGTGTGAAAGCAAATAATGCAAAGATTATTTCAAATCAAATGGTGCAGCTTGATTAACCCATTCAGTAATAAAGCGCTATATATATTCACGAACAACATTCAGTGGCATTTCATAAGTGAAGAGTGCACGTAATCAGCTTTTATCTGCGCTCTGGGTGCGCGTTGGTTGGTTGGTTGATTTGGTGTTTATGGCGCAAAAGCTACTAAGGCCATAGAGCGCCAAAAACGAGACTATTGCTGGAAAAGGTTTGGAGAGAAAAAAGAGGCTGTAGTAGCCAGTGATTAGATAAAAGATGGTAATGGGGTACCAAAAGGTAAAAGGGTGATGGGCATGATCTGTAGGTTAAGAAAGCTACAATCGGTGCAGAAGGCCGATACTATCTAAAAATTTGAAAACATTAGTATGTGTCACAAGAGAATCAACACTTAAGAGCAGAGCTGGGTGTAGTGGAACTTGTTCTTGATACAGCTGCGAAAAATACAAAAGCCGTTGTTCATGATAAGCAGGACATTCAACTAGAATATGAAGAATGCTTAAGGCATTGTCACACTGCTCACAAGTGGGAGCATCTTCCCCACGAAGGAGGTAGCCATGAGTCAGATGAGTGTGACCAATCCTGAGCCGGCAAAGGACAACCTCAAAAAAGCGTTCCTGGTGGCGTGCACTCTGCCATTCGCTCAAAAGAGGTTTGATCATGTGCAACTTGTTGCCGATTTCTTGGTCCCATTCAGCCTGCCATTTGCACTTAACGTGACGCCTGAGAAGGCCTTTGTAGTCTGTATAAGGAATGCTGTCGAGGTCAACTATTCGTTTTACACAAGTACTTGCTGCGCGATCTGCTGCCTCATTGCCCGGAATGCCCACGTGGCTGGGAATCCAGCAAAACACAATCTCGTATCCCTGTCTTGAGGCAGCAACAACCTTATTTCGCAGTTCAAGGAGCAGGAAGTGCTTGAGGGGTGTTAGTGAAGACAGTGCATGCAATGCACTGAGGGAGTCTGTGTATACGATGGAGCGAGAGAGCTTTTTATCAAGTATGAAGCCTATGGTAAGAAGCAGACCATAGAGCTCCGCTGTAAAAATAGAAGCAGAGGAGTTGATTCGCCTAACAAGCTGAACTGTTGGGCCAATCATGGAACACCCAGCAGCAGATTCCGTCTTTGTACCATCTGTGTAGAAGCTTACATATTCGGAATACTGACATTGCAGTGCTAAGAATTCCTGAAGAAACACACCATTAGGAGTATCAGCTTTCTTGTATCGCGTGAGTGAAAGGTCACACTTAATGACAGGTTGCTCCCACGGTGCTCCCGCAACAGTAGACTGCACTACCGGGGGCTTCCAATCGAGTCCCATGTTCACACTGGCACTTTTCAATCTCAGAGAAGGGAGGCACAATTGTGGCTTTGTTTTGAAACACCCTTTCAGAGCGCATGTCTTCCACAGCCATTCGCGCAGGGTGATCAGAGATGGACCTGACTCTCAGGGAATACAAAAAGCCCAGAGAAAATCTTCTCTTCTCAAGAGACAGCTCGTTGGCCTCTGCATACAGACTTGGCACAGGAGACGTGCGAAAGGCACACGTCGCCAATCGCAATCCAAGATGATGA